GCTGCAAAGAAGAAGGAAAATATGACCCACAAGAATGAAAATCAATCAGCCAAGTTGGACAGAAAGCTTGCCTGCCTGTGCTTTCCAGAACTTCCGGCTACCTGAGCTGGGCATTTGCTTTCTCCTGTTTCCTCCTCAAACTCCAGCTGCATATTCAGTGAACAGAGGGCAAGTGGTGGTCCTCACCTTGATCAACCCCCTGACACCTGTGCTTGGCTGTGGTGGCAACTCCTGAACTGGGATCAAGATTGTCGTGGGCCTCTGAGCCGGCAGCACCTCATCACCTGCCACCCTGTCCATCCCTCGTGGGGCTCTGGGTGTCCAGGTGTGGGTTTGTGTGCAGCACTGCACACTGCTCCAGTTATCGCACCCTGGGCGGGTCCATCAGCATGTGTTCCCACCTCTACACGTGTCTGCTCCCTGGTGAGGTTGAACACTTAGCCTGTCTTTACATTGTCTCACGGCCGGTGCATTCTGCCCACGTGTGCTAAATTACAGCAGCCCATGTATTGTGAATGCTTCCCTAACAGCCCCTGGTCTTGGCCTCTGTGTTGGTTATTTTGTGTTGTCCAAAAATGCATATTTCCAATGAACCAAAGTTATTGAAATTTTATATAACTTCAGTCCTTAGTACCTTCTACTTTTGGGATAAATATCTGATGTTGTTTTTCAACTACTTTTTCTATGACTTACTTTGTGTAAGAGTGTGTATGTGTGTGTGTATGTGTACATGCACGCACGCACACACACTGTCTTAGTCCATATGGTAGTTTGTTGGTTCTCTATATTACTTTCCAGTTGCCTCTATGGTATTCATTACAGAATTCTTCCTTTTCCTGCTGCTTGTTGATATGTTTCTCATATAGTAAATATTTCTGGAAAGAAGACTCAGAAATAACACAAATAATAAACTTAGAAAAAGATATTAAAACAGATATATTACATATGGTCAAGAAGGCAGAGAGACACAAACGCATTAATGGAAAACATGAGTGATGTAAAAAGAGCCAAATAGAACTTCCAGAAATAAAAACAAAATATGTCTCAGGACCAGAGGCAGTGGCTCACACCTGTAATCCTGGCACTTTGAGTGACTGAGGTGGGAGGATAACCAGAGGCCAGGAGTTCAAGCACAGTTGGGTAATAAAGCAAGACCCCATCTCTTCAAAAAATAATTTTAAAACACTTAGTTGGACATGTGGCTTGTGCTTATAGGCCTAGCTACTCAGGAGGCTAAAGTGGAAGGATCTCTTAAGGCCAGGAGTTTGAGACTGTAGTAAGCTATGATCATGCCACTGCACTCCAACCCAGGCAACAGTGAGACTCTGTCTCTAAAAATATTAAAAATATTAAAAATAAGAAGAAATGAACAACCCAATTTGGTTAAAATATTTAAACAGATATTTCACCAAAGAGGATATATGGATAGTAAATAAGCACATGAAAAGATGTTGTATTAGTAATTAGGGAAATGCAAATTAAAACCACAATAAGACACTTACTAGAATGCCTGAAATTAAAGAAGTTTTAGTGAGGATGTACAGAAACTAAAACTCTAATACACTGCTGCTGGCAACATAAAGTGGCAAAACAACTTTGGAAAATACTTTGGCAGTTGCTCAAAAAGTTAAACATAGATTCCCAGATGAACCAGTTTTTCACCATTACATATTTATTCAAGAAAAATCAAAGAAGGTTGAACATGGTGGCTCAGCCTATAATTCCAGCACTTTCGGAGGTCGAGACAAGAGGATTGCCTGAGCCCAGGGGTTCAAGATCAGCCTGGACAACTTGGTAAGGCCTCATCTCTACAATAAATCACAAAAACTTAGCCAGCCATGGTGATGTGAGTCTGTAGTTCCAGCTCCTTGGAAGGCTGAGGCGGAAGGATCGCCTAAACCCAGCAGGCTGAGGCTGCAGTGGCCATAAATGTACCACTGCACTCCAGCCTGGGCAATAAGAGTGAAACGCCAACTCAAAAAAGAAAAAAGAAAAGAATATAAACATTGTCCACAAATATACATAGAAAATTCTTAAGTTATTTTTATTTTGACAAATAAAAAATGTATATATTTATGGTGTATAAGATGTTTTAAAATATGTATACATTGTGAAATGGCTATTAGTCATTAACAAATGCATTATGTCGCATACTTATTTATTTGTGGTAATGTGATAAAATATGAAATATATTTGGCCCTTATCCTGTCTTTATTCTGTATATATCTTTATGTTGTCACATGGAATTTTCTGACAGGAGTGCCTTTTGAAATACACTAGTCCCTTCTGATCACATTTGAATTGATGATATAAGGTAGATAGCTTCAAGATGGGGCTGGTGGGCCAGGCATCGTGGCTCACACCGGTAGCCCCAGCTTTTGGGAGGCTAAGGCAGGAGAACCGTTTGAGGCCAGGAGTTCAAGACCAGCCTAGGCAACACAGCAAGACCTCGCCTCTACAAAAAAAAAAATACAAAAATAGTTAGCCAGGCGTGCATGGTGGTGCATGCCTGTAATCCCAGCTACTCAGGAGGCTGAGGTGGAAGGACCTCTAAGCCCTAGATATCGAGGCTGCAGTCAGCCGTGATTGTGCCACTGTACTCCAGCCTGGCCAACAGAGTGAGACTAACAACTCAAAAAAAAACCAAAAAAAGAGCAAGTTCAACTAATAATCACATTAAAAATACAAAAAAGCAAAAACCTCAACTATATAATTTCTCTGTATCTAACTTAAAAGGCGCTTAAAAGGATACTCATACAACAAATAATTGTTATTCCTATGGAGTGGAAATAGAGAGATGGGATTATGGGGAATTTTTACCTTTTTACTCTGTTTAGGCCCATATACTTTTAATTTAAAAGACAGCGAGCCTTCATTACATTTGTAAATCTGAAAAATGTACTAATTGTTTTCTTAACCGCTTGATCCTATGAGCTCATATCCAGCTTAGATGCCTGAAATGTTAAGACAACAAATGTACTTATTTATATAACATTAGCAATAGCTCCCATATGGTTTGGGCTTTGTGCAGAGCTGCATTCAGATAATCATGATCCAAAATCTAGAAAGAAATTACAAAGTGGTTCCAATTTTTACTAGCATCCACTCAGAGTATATTAACGCTTTCTTCACCACTCTACAGTAGCTTCTCTTAAGACCTTCTCATTCTAATTTTTTTTAGTCCAGGGTCTCAGTCTGTCACCTAAGCTCATCATAGCCTCAACTCCTATGGTCAAGTGATCCTCCTGTCTCAGCCTCTTGAGACTTTCTCATCCAAAATGCCCAACCCCTTTTCAGCCACATCACCACTGCCCTTTTCTTAGCGTTTTGTTTTGTTTTTTGAGTAGGAGTCTCATTCTATCACCCAGGCTGGAGTGCAGTTGGCATGCTCCTGGCAACTGCAGCCTCGACCTGCTGGGCTCAGGCCCTCTTTATGCCTCAGTCTTCCAAGTAGCTGGAACTACAGGCGAGCGCCACCATGCCCAGCTCATTGTTGGATTTATTGCAGAGACAGGGTCTTGCCATGTTGCCCAGGCTGGTCTGGAACCCCTGGGCTCAGGCAATCCTCTCGCCTCTGCCTCCCAAAGTGCTGGGATTACAGGTATGAGCTGCTGCTTCCTTAGTCTTTTTTATTAGTTTACATAGATATTCTTCCAAGTCTCAGGATTTTCTGTAGTAACAGGTCATCATATTCTGCTTCTCAAAAGATCCAAGAACCAGGTTGGTGAAGACTCTTCTTTAGTCAGGGGTGGTGAAAAGATGGGGAACAGCTTGGCCCCACTCACATATTGATAGTATCTATTTCTCCAAATTTAGGAATTTGATTGTTAGTAATTGGTTTACGTGTATTGCAGGATCTTCCCAAACTGATTTAATTTGGAGAAAAGGGAGTAAGTAAGGGCATCGCTGTTATTTTCATTTATCACAGTACTTCTTAAATTTGTCTGATATGTTGAGGTAAACAAAGATAATTAGACCAGGCTTGGTGGCTCACACCTATAATCCCAGCACTTTGGGAGGTCGAGGTGGGAGGATTACTTGCGCCCAGGAGTTCGAGACCAGCCTGGGCAACATGGCGAGACCCCCCCCCCATCTTTACATAGTATCTTAAAAAAAGAAAAAAAGAGTTAGTGGGATCTTCAAAAAACCCCGGTGCCCAGGGGCTCTGCAGTCCTCCGTGTTTGACAAGGTGTAGTTTGAAATGTTAATTCCCAGGCTCATTCCTGAAGATCCAAATTAAGGTTTTTGCACTTCTCATAAGTCACCTGCTCTGTCCTTTCACCTGTCGAAGATGAAGAGCTGCACAACCTCAGAGACTGTACACCCTCTGAGCGTTTTCACGACAGAGGACACTGACACAGCTCTTTTGGTCCCCAACTGACATACAGATGAAGACTTAACTCTGCAGATGTTTTCTCGGAAAGGACAGAACTATAAACACATAGCTGAGTAAGTCTGGCCGGCAGCTCCATCTTTTCTCCCCAACAAAGAGCACCCCGTAGTTCACTCTGTCTCTGGCACCTGAAGCTTTAACTTTGGGGAAACAATGAACTCCGATCCCAAGCCTTCAGGCAAGAAAAAAATGCCTGTCTGGGGGCTTGCGAAGTACTAGGGGGTAGAAAAAGGCGAAGCGAGCTATTCTCGGATTCATCCCACCCTGCCAACCCTCCATATCGAACACAGCCAGCATTGCCGACGCCATCTTGCAGGGTGGGCTACGCAGACTCTTGGCGGGAGGCCGGCGCCGGAGCGGGAGAGGACGTGGAAGGGTTGGAGGTGGGGAGCGCGCGCTACGAGTGGGAAACACGCATGCGCATAGGCGACGGCGGTGGAGGGGGTGGGGCCGGGGTCCGAGTGCGCGTGCTCGTTGGGAGCCCGCGAAGTACCTGGAAGAGGTGGGGGGGCGAGGTAGAAAGGAGTGGGGTTGAAGAGCGCTTGCGCAGGAGGGCGACCGTACAGGGAGGGGGATTCCCGAGCACGCGCGGGGAGGCGGGACGTAAGAAGCTCTCGCGAGATATTCAGATGCTATATATTATCGCGGAGAGCCCGCGTCCTTTCCCTGGTGTGATTCCGTCCTGCGCGGCTGTTCTTTGGAGCAGTAGTCGTTTGCCTCCGTCCCCCTTCTCTCCCACCTAAGTGTGCGCCACCACCCCATGGAAGATTCGATGGACATGGACATGAGCCCCCTGAGGCCCCAGAACTATCTTTTCGGTAACTGCTGGGGGATTGGAGCGAGGCCGAGTAGGGCCTGGTGGCTGGGGGGGGGGGGAGTCCGGCTGAGGCCTGAGCTGGTGGAGAAAGGCAGGAGGGCAGCAGGCCTGAGGGAGTGGGAGGCGCGCCGCCGGAACCCTGGATCTTAACACTTGGGAGCCTGGAGGGAGCTGGCGGAATAAAAGGATGGGAAGGCGGAGCGGCCCAGAAAGCCTGGGGCGGGAGCGGTCCGAGGCTCGGGTCTGAGGCAAGGTGGCACCGCCCGACTGAGTGATCGGCGTTGCGCCGTGTGCGTGCCATACCCCAAGCGTGATTTTGTTCCTAGGGATGTGCGTTCCTAGGTGTTTGATATGGGACCGGGCCGGTGGCCTAGGAGGCTGTGGGCTCGAGGGAAAGCATGGGCCTCCTTGCTAGGAGAGGGGAAAGGTGCATAGCTCTGCGTGCCCCAGACCCCAGGCCCCAGAGCTCTGGGTCGGAGACTTAACCTAGGTCCCTCGGCCGGTTTCTGGGGGATGGGAGGTGCGGCGGGGCGTGAGAAGGCCGCGGCCGCCGGGAGCACGTGGTTGCCACGTGGTTGGGGGAAGGAGGGGTTGTGGGCCCTACATCCGGGGCTCGCCGCGGTCCTGCAACTGGTGAGCCTGAGATCCCGGGCCCCAGGTGATGCTGTTGAGCGGGAAATGTGAGGTGAGGTGGGTGGCAGCGCCAGCATTCTGGAGGTCTTTGTTAAGTGCCCGCAACAGCTGCAGTGATGTAGTTATCATTTCTGGAGCCCCTTTGCTGTCTCACTGCGGGAGTTGGAATTAGCTACCCCCGCTTGGCAGATGACAATGCTGATGCTCAGGAGTAAGGTGACCTAACGAAAGATATGTTTAACAGGCAAAGAGACCGAATTGAAGACGCTTGACACCACAGCTGGTGCTTTATAAATAAATGGTTTTGGTATTTGGGGTCATTTTTGCGTCAATGAGCAAACCGCTTTTTTAGGAATGAGAATTGTGGGTTCAGTTTGCGCCCAATGAGTGACCTGGAACTATTAACTTGTAATTCGATAACGTCTAAGCAGGATTTTGAGAATCCCTGTCCCCCCATTTGCGGTCTCTATCCCACGCACCCACCACCCACTGTGCCGCAGCTGTAAGGAGAGTCATGCTTTGGTTTTCAGTCTCAGTAAACTTAAATGCAGTAGCCTTTTCTTTGCCGGTCAGACTTTGAAGTAAGTGCAAATTCCACCCAAATTTGATCTTGTTTGTTAATCATGCTGAGATTTGTTAATTGAACGTCTGTTATGTTTCAGCATCTATGTGTTAGTAACTTAGATGGCCGTTAAATAGTCACTTAAAATTAAGTTTTTATCCTAACAGTTTATAACAGTGCGCTTATTCATGGAGTGGGAGTATGTATATGGCACTGTACATGAAGGCTTTATTCCTAGCCATTTTGAATAGCTGAGATTTCTGATCAATTTATATCAAGGCTTTTTGGTTAAGCCTTTCTGTTGGAAACATTCCTTGTCTTAAACGGTTTTCTGAATATAGCTTAATGTATATCACTTTCTCTTGCTTTAAAGATAATGGGTACTGCTGTAACAAGCTTTGCTTCTTTTACATTTGTCATTTTTGTTGTAATAGTCAACTATTTGTGTAACCATTCTCATTTCTAATTCACCACTTGGGCGTTTAGGTAGGTAAATGTTTTTACATACTGGGTTGCTTTTTGAAGTACTGGGAAATTAACATTGTATGGTAGGTTGGATTTAGATGACTACTTCCGGTCCAGTTTTACTGAATCATTGATCCTGTTTCTGTGTGCATAATGGTAACAGTGCCTGTCTCAGAAGTGAACCAGTATGATGAGCAGATGGCATTTATAATCTTGTGGGTGTTACTTGGTGTTAATAGAGGTTCATGTTCAAGAAATCGAGAAAGAGATCTTTTGTTTTGCCTTCTGTTACCAAAAATAATGGAGAAGTAGTTCACAAGTTAACCTTGATCATTTTTGGTTACCCACTCTTGAGTTTTTGGTGTTTTTTCCTCCTTGTTAGAGTTGCTTTTTTCTTCGTTTACAGGTTGTGAACTAAAGGCCGACAAAGATTATCACTTTAAGGTGGATAATGATGAAAATGAGCACCAGTTATCTTTAAGAACGGTACTTAAACTTTCAAAATAAACTACTTTTCTTGATTTCAGCCTTTTAGTTCCTATTCATGTGGCTTGAGACTTTTTTCCTTTGCTTCCCTGACTGCTTATAAGATAGTGTTTTTTATAACCGAGTATTATATGTACCTCATTGTCCATACATCTATGATAAAGGATTTGGCATCTACACCATTCGTTTGGTAACCATGTAAAGTTCAATTACACTGCTGTTCAGCTTTCCTTATTACTGTTTAATTTCATTATAAAACCTTATGAAGTAGGGCAATGATACTTTTATATGTTTCTCCCCCCAGACTGGCCTATTGCTCAACTTTGTAGGAATTGATTAATGAACACTTGTTAGGTGATGTATATTGTACAAGTGCATTTTTATGCACTTCTTCAAGTTGACTGAATATAAGAAATTAGTTTACCAAAATCACAGAAACCTTGAAGACAACATTGTGTACAAATTTGTTTTCCATCAGTGGTGATGAAAGATTTATATTTTAAAAGGAAATACAGACATGTGCCTCATGACATAACTGCTGGGTCAACAGTGGATCAACAGTGGTCCTATAAGATTGTAAAACCCTATTTTTACTGTGCCTTTCTATGTTTAGGTGCACAAATAGTAGCCATTGTGTTATAATTGCCTACAGTATTCAGTACAGTAACATGCTGTACAGGTTTGTAGCCTAGGCGCAGTAGGCTATCCCATATAGCCTACACAGTAGTCTATACCATGCTTTTATGATAGCTCAAAGATGAAATTGCCTAATCACACATTTCTTGGGACATAGCCATGTCGTTAAGCGACCCATGGCTGTGCATAATGCATTGTGAAGGGGGGAATGTAAATAGTCAGAACTTGAAGTATTTATTTTTTTGTTCACAGGTCAGTTTAGGGGCTGGTGCAAAGGATGAATTGCACATTGTTGAAGCAGAGGCAATGAATTATGAAGGCAGCCCAATAAAAGTAACACTGGCAACTTTGAAAATGTCTGTGCAGCCAACGGTAAGGGCACTTATACTTCGGATTTTATGTCAAGGTTTAATTCTGTTGCTTTACGGTAGGTGTGTCATTGAGGTTGCACCAGGGAGCTAGAGAGTGATTCCTTGGCTGATGTCCCTGTGGGGTTGAATGGTCGATTCTTGAACATGGTGGTTGCTGCTGCTTGTTGATTGGGTGGAAAAACTGGTTCACTGGTTTGTTTTGGTTTGTGGACTTATCTGTAATGCTTACTATACTTTTCTTCGTGATTAGTGATAAAAATTTTCTTTCTTCCAGGTTTCCCTTGGGGGCTTTGAAATAACACCACCCGTGGTCTTACGGTTGAAGTGTGGTTCAGGGCCTGTGCATATTAGTGGACAGCACTTAGTAGGTATGTTACCTTTTTTATGTTAACATTATTTAGTTTATTCTTTTTTTTTTTTTTAGATTAGTCTCTGCCACCCAGGCTGGAGTGCAGAGAGGCCTGGTTTTATGTTTATTTCAGTAGCTTTGGTGGGGTATGAATAATTTTTGGTTACGTGTTTGCATTCTATGGTGGAAGAAGTCTGGGCTTTAAGTGTACCCACTAGGTTGAACTTTTTTTTTCTTTTACCCTCTCACCCTCCTTGTCCATTATATCATTCTCTGTGCCTTTGTAGATCCTTAGTTTAGCTCCTACTTATAAGTGAGAACATGCAGTGTTTAGTTTTCTGTTCCTTAGTTCACTTATGATGATGGGTCTTCAATTCCATCCAAGTTGCTGCAAAAGATATTTTGCATTTAAAACCTAGCAGTGAAATTTAGTCCCCCAAATTCCTTCTTAAGTTTTTGTTCCCAATTTGCTATTTTTGTAATATGATCTCTGGTTTTAGAATACTTGTTGCTGTTTGCATTATCAGTGTTCTTTTTGAGTTGTTTCTTGAGTTTCATAATGATTAATTAGGAATGACTACTTAATTTTAGCTGTGGAAGAAGATGCAGAGTCAGAAGATGAAGAGGATGAGGATGTAAAACTCTTGAGTATATCTGGAAAGAGATCTGCTCCTGGAGGTGGTAGCAAGGTTCCTCAGGTAGAGATGGAATTCTACTACAGGTGTCGTATTCTAGCATTTAGTTTGGTGCAAATCAACTCTTGCTCATTTTTATTTTTTTTTAAAGAAAAAAGTAAAGCTTGCTGCTGATGAAGAAGATGATGATGATGATGAAGATGATGATGATGATGATGAGTAAGTACGCTTTTGAGAAGTTAACAGCTTGATGCATGGGGAGGAATTTTATGGAAATCATTTACCAAAGCCGTCTTATGTAAAGAGTTTGTTATTAAAGGGCCGTGAGCCTTTAAAATGCTACTGTGCATTGTGAATCTTGATGACACCTATGCAACATTTCTCAAATTTGAGTCTCTTTTTTTGAGGAAAAGGTAGCAGGCATGTTATACACTTACAAAGTCTGGTTTAGTTTAAGGTGAACAGTAAGTGGATTGGGTGGAAAGAAGAAATTCTGACCGGAATAGCTCTAATTATATTCATTTTATTAGTTGTTATGAAAGGTTTTTATTATGTTATCCTAAAGGATTTTGGACTGTGGTTCTGTGTAGTTTGTTAAAGGAATCTTAGTTTATGTGAGATTAAAATAGGGTTGGAAACGAGCTTTTATGTGTTAACTAGATCAAATTGGTAAAGAGTTACATGCACACTGGAATAAAGTACTGTTTGTAGTTGGTCTTGTTACATGTAACTATATCAGTACTTGTAATACATCTAACTCTTCTTGGCTTTGTCCCTCAGTTCTGAGACTGGTCCATATGTATTTATTGAAAACACTTGAAATAGAATCTAAGAAAGGCTTTGAGAACATGTACTAACCAGATCTGGGTGCTAGGTTGTAACTTTAAATAGCTAAGCCAATAGTTCTAAAAAGAAACTCTGAGCATGACAATGAAGGCAGAAAACAGGGAAAAGACTGAAAGCTTAAAAATTTAAAATAACCGCATATCAGACTTACGAATGAACTTGAGATAATTATTGTTCAACTGTCATCACATTTTGGAGAGAGGAATTGAGCTGTGTTGCCCAGGCTAGTCTTCTAGGATCAAGCTGCTTGAGCTACTGGGCTTACAGGTTCTTAACCCGACTTGTCATCACTTTAAAACATATTTATCATTAGTAAGAATTACTATAATACATCCCAAGAGAAGGATGGGAAACAAGCTAAAAACATGAGAAATTGCAGTGGTGTAAAGTGCTCGATTAGGTTTGGATTTAGTCTGATAAGTTTATAAATGAGAGTTCAGTAGCATATTCACTGAGGCATATGATGGCATAAGGATTGAGAGAAGCAATCCTTTCCAGAAATGCAGAGTTGTAGGACCTCTGATCTGTGTTTTATTACTATTGGGGCTTCCTAAGATTTTCACTCTTGAAAATGGGCATGATTCAAGATGTAGCAACAGTGTAATAATTTACATTTGAGTTCTTATATCTCTTCTTTTGAGTGTTGAGGAATTAAAAGTGCAAATAATAACAAAGTTTGAATTGGTAAGTTGCCCTTAAGTGCAGAAAAGAAAGTCGGATGTACATAGTTAAGGGACAGTTAATGGATACCTTGAGGGGGAACAATTCTCACTAGAAACTTCCTTTCCCCCAGTATTGAAAATATGAGTGTTTCTTACATGAAGTTGCTGCTGTTTGGAGTTTAGATACTATTTATCATGGAAAGGAAATTTTGGCCAGTGTGTTGAGTTTTGAATTAAAATTAAATGTGGCTTCTACTGTATTGGTGTAGACTTTTGCCTGACTTTCCCTTCAATAATTTGATCTCCCCAGTTAACCATTCAAAGTGTACTATTCAGTGGCTTTAGTATGTGCACAGTTATGCAGCCATAGCCACACTGTTTTAGAACGTTTCATCGCCTCAGAAAGAAATCATACACTAGCTGTTGCCTCTCATGTTCCTCAGCTCTAGTCAGCAACCACTGATAGATAAATTTGCCTATAAATTTACCTGTTCTAATATTTCACAAATGCAATAATGTGGTCTTCTATAATTGATTCGTTTCAGTTAGCACATTGTTTTCAAGAATCATCCATGTTGAAGCATGTATCAGCACTTCATTTCTTTTTGTGGCTGAGTAGTCCATTGCGTGAATATATTATTGTTTGATTACTTATTCCTCAGTTGGTGAGCACTTCTTGGCTGCAGTGGACATTTGTGAACATGTTTCATTTTTCTTAGCTATATACTATAGCAGAGTTGCTGGATCCTCGGCTTAACTCTCGGAAGAACTGTTAGACTTGTTTTCCGAAGTGGCTGGCCCATTATATTCCCACCAGCAGTGTATATGTGCTCTGTGATTTCTCCAACATCCTCACTGGCTCTAATCTATCTCTAATCCTTGTGGCGTGGAATAATCTTATTGTGGGTTCAGTTTGCATTTCCCTGTTGACTAGTGATGAGCATCTTTTTGTGCATTTTTTGGCTGCTTAAGTATCGATGGAGAAATATCTATTTGTGGTCCTTTGCCCATTAAAAAAAAAATCAGTTACTTGTACTTGTCTCTCTTGTTGAGTTGTAAGAATTGATACATTCTGGAAACAAGACCTTTATCAGATACATAATTGTAAATATTTTCTCCGATCCTATGGATTGTCTTTTCATGCTTGATATATTTTCATGAAGCCCAGTTTCTTTTGCATGTGCTTTTTGTGTCAGTTCTAAGAAACCATTGCCAAATCCAAAATGGAAATTTGCCCCTTTAATTCTAGATTTTATAGTTTTAGCTCTTATATTAGGGCTTTGAGTAAATTAGTATGCGTGATGTGAGGTGTAGGGAGCCTAATTATATATTCTTTGAATATTGATAAAGTTACAAGTAGTTACCCCAGTATGATTGGTCAAAAATATTTCCCATTGAACCTGGTCTTGGCACCTTTCAAGTGTGACTTTATTTCTAGCCTCTTTTTTCTTTTGAGTCCGTGGTTTCACTCTGTTGCCCAGGGTGGTGTGTGGTGACAGGATCATGACTCACTATATTTGCATCTCCTGATCTCAGGCAGTCCTTCTGCCTCAGCCTCCTAAGTAGCTAGGACTGTAGGCATGCACACCATGCCCACCTAAATTTTTGTGTGTTTTGTTTGTTTTGGAGGAGATGAGCTCTAACTATGTTGCTTAGGCTGGTCTTAAATTCCTGGCCTCCCAAAGTGCTGAGATTGCAGTTGTTAGCCACCATGCCTGACTATTCTGTTGACATATATGTCTATTCTTAGAACAGTTCAATGCTGTCTTGACCCTGTAGTTTTGTAGGTTTTGTAGAGTATTGCCAAGAATGAGTCCGTCAACTTTATTTTTGGCCTTTTTGGATTTCTTGTGTTTTTATATGAATTTTAGGATGTTTCTACTATAAAGATAGTCTGGGATTCTTTGGGTTGTATTGATATATTAGTAAGGGGAGTATTGTCATTTTGACAATATCTGAACATGGAATGTGTTTCTATTGATTTCTTTCACCCCCTAAATTTTTTTTAGACAGCACAAAATCTACTGTCTCTACTAAATGTACAGTTCAGTGTAACTAAATATATGCTATACAACAGATCTCAAATTCTCATAAAACAAACTATGCCTATTAACTCCATTTCTTAGCTCCTGGCAACCCACAATTTATCTTTTTTTTGCAGGTTGACTGTACTTTAGATACTTTGTAACTTGTATTCATATAGTATTTATCTTTTTTCAGCTGAATTATTTCATTTGATGTCCACAAGTTTTCATTTTATTGCATGTAACTGGACTTTTTTTTTTTTTTGAGTTGGAATCTCACTCTGTCACCCAGACTGGAGTGCAGTGGCCGCTCCTGGCCACCGCAGCCTCGACCTGCTGGGCTCTGGCGATCCTTCCGCCTCAGCCTTCCGAGTAGCCAGAATTACAGGCATGCGCTACCACGCCCGGCTGATTTTTTTGATTTATTGTAGAGATGAGGTCTCGCTGCCCAGGCAGGTCTCAAACCCGCGGGCTCAGGCAATCCACTCACCTCAGCTTCCCAAAGGCGCAGGATTACAGGCTGAGCCACCGAGCCCAGCTGTAACTGGACTTTTTAATGCTGAATAATATTCTGTTTGTGTGTATATTTTCTTTCTTCAGCTGTTTATCATTTGGGTTGCTCTTACCTCTTGGTAGTTTTGAACAGTGCTGAAATGAACATGGGTGCACTATCACTTTGAGATCTTGATTTCAATTCTTTTGTCTACTTTCCCCAAGTCTGGAAAGTTCTTGATATCTTAACTTACTTCGTTTGCAGTGATGATGATGATGATTTTGATGATGAGGAAACTGAAGAAAAAGCTCCAGTGAAGAAAGTAAGTAGATAAAATGCTACTAGATTGTCAGATACAGCTAATAACAGAAATGTAAGTTCTTCAATGCTATTCACTTATTTTTGTAGTTAAAGAAAGCTAGCTTCACAGATAATCTCACACTAAAAATTGGTTCTGAGCAGGACTACTGAAAATTCTATTAATTGTGGAGAATTGTCTGTTTTCTTCATATGGTCATGTCCCACAATTTGTTAGCCTTTTGCAGGTTGTCACAACTGCTATTTTTCTTACATGGTTTGGAATAATTTTATTTGTACCAATATGTCTTATATTGGGAGGCCACTGATTAAGATTAATTTTAAATTGCAGTCTGTACGAGATACTCCAGCCAAAAATGCACAGAAATCAAACCAGAATGGAAAAGACTCAAAACCATCAACACCAAGATCAAAAGTAAGTGGCAACATTTACACGAGTACAGGCTTCATTGGTTTTCTTAGGGATAGAAGGCATTACTGTGGAAGAATCCTTAAAGAGTTATTCTTCCAGATACAATGGTTTGCGCCTACAATCTCAACACTTAGGGAGCCTGAGGCAAGAGGATTGCCTGAACCCCCCAAGGCTTTGAGAGCCACCTGAGCAACTTGGTGAGACCTGGTCTCTACAGTAAATCAAAAAATGAACCAAGGTGGTGTGTGCCTGTAGTTCCGGCTACTTTGAAGGCTGAGGCAGAAGGATTGCCTGAGTCCAGTAGGTCGAGTCTGTAGTGGCTGTGATCCACTTTGTGCCACGGCACTCCAGCCTGGGCAACAGAGATTCTGACTTAAAAAAAAAAAGGTTAAAGTGTGCTTGTTTGTAATTCTAGGCGCAAACATAAATGCAAACATAATATACCAAATATAAGGATGCTGGTGTCCAGTCAGGGAGAAAGGCAATAGAAGTATTTTATTGTGATGTAAACTGTTGTTTCCTCTAAGGAATCTTGCTCTCGGGCTATATGCACAGCATATTAGGTCAAGTAGAAAGTTTAGGGACTAGGTTGGGGGGTCCCTTCTACCCTCTGCCCTGCTTTTGGAGATTGTCATCAAATGTCCTGGGATGGGCTCCAGGCATTAAAACTTTGTTTTATTCTTGGGAAGCTTCTAGCTTCACCTTTGAACTGACCTGAAATTATAAGTACAGACTCTTCTGTCTTTCTTTTTTTCCCCCTTTCAACAAGGGTCCACCTATTGTTCTGTTGCCCAGTCTGGAATGCAGTAGCCAGATCACAGCTCACTGTAGCCTCAGACTCCTGGGCTCAAGTGATCCTCCTGCCTCAGCTTCCTGTGTAACTGGGACTACAGGTGTACACCATCATGCCTGGCTAATCTTATTCCTTAAAGGAATGATTTTAAGGACAAAATAATCTTGTGGCATTATTTATTTACAACAATTCTGGTTGTATACTTGGTTTTATAAGGAAGAGTTGTAAAAAATACTGAGGAAACCCAGATAGGATGAGCTGTATTCTGATGTTTTGAAATTCAATCTTTTGCAGGGTCAAGAATCCATCAAAAAACAGGAAAAAACTCCTAAAACACCAAAAGGACCTAGCTCTGTAGAAGACATTAAGGCAAAAATGCAAGCAAGTATAGAAAAAGTGAGTAAAGTTATTAGTAAAAGAATCTAGATAGATCTTTTCCCCCTGCATTGCACCTTTTGGGGATTTGGATAAACTGAATGTTCTTGTTTTAAATTCTTTCAAACCTTTGCACTCGGATGCCCCCTCGGAACGTAAAGAGATTTTTGGTGATAATATAGGACAAACTTAGGCAAGTGTAAATTTTTCAAATATGAAGTGGTTTTCAGGAGTCATGAGTGTGTCCTTCCACATTTTCAAACAGCAGACTGAATAATAAATTACAGATTAATGTGGGAGAAAGAAAATGAAACTACATTGGCTGCTCAAATAGAAAAACACCAGGTAGAAGGCATCAAACATTAGTATTGCACAACATGTAATTAACCTGCAACACATGTTGGTGATGTGTTACCACAGATTAGAAAAATAAAAATTTAGGCCTTTTTGGTCATAAGTTCTTCAGTGCCCAAAATTTCATTATAAACTAAATATCATTATAATAAGAATGGTTCTACCGCTATACTATTTAATATGAAGTGATTAGTTTTTCATACTATTATGAAGTGATTCATTTTGCACTGTTTTGTAAAAAAAAGTGCGATCAAGTTGTTGATAGTGATCCATGAGATGTCTCCAAGTGCAGATTTGTCTACCCCTTTTGTGGCATGTTGTTTTTCTTTTTCCAAAAATGGATTATGAAAAAACCTATGTTCATAAGTAATATTGCCGGTAGTGGTGATTCTTTTGCGTATGTGAAGTATATCTTATTTTCATTATAAAAGAAATAGGAAGTACTAGCACATTGCAAGACACATACTGACTAGACTTTAAGATGAGATTGAGAACACTTCCTTTGCCTAGTCTTTTAAGATGTGCTGCAAAACCAGCAGAGGGCGTATGGAAGCTTCGATACAATTGCAAGCAGCTGGAAAAGTAGAGACTTAGTCTTTGGCGGCTTGGTGTTACAGTTAGGTAATTACTCGTGATTAACTAGTGAAAGACATTTTCCAGCAAATTGAGTCATTTCTATTTGTGCTTTACACCAAGGCATCACCAGTCAATACATGCAGTAATATGAAGAATTTGTGAGTAATGCTTATATCTAGTCTTCTTTTGTCATAAATAGTGGAAACTTAGGAAAAGGATTAGCTCTCTTGTCTATTTGACTGGGGGATTCAAATTTCGGAAACTTCAGTGAACTGTGGACTTGAGTGTGGAATAAGTGGTTTGAACAGCTTGGAAACACATTTGACAGAAACTTTAATTTTTTGAATCTCACTTTAGGCTACAATTGTTGAGAATATATGTGATGAGGGAAAATTGCCAGCTCATTTCCCCACGTTTTTCTTGTGCTCTAGACTTTTCATGGCTTCAGTATATCCCATTCCTTGTACAGTGATAAGCCCACTGGGAAATAACATTTTAGAAACAATGTTTTTTTGTTTTGCTTTAGTCACTATAAACCCTTTAGCCTTCCTGATAATCACTGATTTATTTTTATCCCTTGCATACAGTGCTAAAATGACATCTTTTAGATGCCCCTCCCCCCTATTTTAATATGGTCCTATCTCCTTGATTTAATTGCAGGCGCATTGAACAGTCCTGGGCACTACTGGTAAATTAAAAGCCCAAAGATGGGGAGAGAGGAAAAGGAGAGAGACAAATGTAGTCCATACTGAGTATCATCAACAATCCAGACTGAAGTCTTCTATTTTAATCTCAATCCCCTTTCCTGATTTGCTACCCACATCCCCTCCAGGCTGGAAACAATCTCACTCGATTTCCTAAAGCACTTTCTTTTGACTGCTGTGATTGATTCAGTGAACCTCGCCCTTTGCTTTCTATTACTTGTGCATTTGCCTCACCTCTTTAACATGTTTTAATCATGTTTGTATCTCCGTAGCTGCTCAATAAATATTTGAATGAATCAAATGATGTATGTGACAATAATTTTGAGTGGAAATTATTACAGTGAGGTGTGTTTTCTTAGGTGATGGAGCCAGTTAAGTTTCTTAATAGTATACCTGATTCTGCCATTTGACATTTGAAAACCTTTTCAATTTTTAAAAGATGCATAAAAGGGTAGTATTCAGGTTACAAGGAAAAGTAAAATTCAGCTAATCAAAATAGAAACAGTGTGATATATTTAGTGCCTTAAATAAGGTAATTCCAAAATAGTGAATGTAAACATTTCAAGGTATTTGTAATAGTAATGTTCTGAAAATTTTGGTGACAGAGTCACAGGTATTGCTAATGCAGTTATATTATCTTGCCTGTATCCATAACTAGAAAGAAATGCCTAATTTTTGTTGGAGGTTACTGAAGTGTAATAGTTTTTTTTCTGTCCAACTTTCTATATATCCCCTGAACTGATATGCAGGTTAGTGTTGTGCTGGACCTAGGCTCTTGGTAAATAATGTGTTCTTTTAACAGTTTTGATCACTTGTGACGTGGATCTCCAAAGGGGTGTACTTTTTTTATTTCTATTTTTTGTATTTCATTGTGGGTGGTAGAGTATGGTGATAAACTGACTTAGATAAATGCAGATAGGCGGCCAAGTTGCCATATTTGTGTGCTTGTAGAATCTCACGGACAGTTTATATTTTACATTCCTAGAGAGGCTGTCTGGGAAGACTTGAACGTTTGACAAGCCTGTTTGTGTAGGAGTACTACCCATGCTGCCTGTTAAGGCTTTCTGGCCCTGAAAAAGACATTTGGTATTCATGAAATGATCTGTGTGATAGCATGCAAATCTTTGAGGAATTTTCTAATGGTGTTTTAGTGTATTTCTAAACTTACCCTTAATAATGCTTTTGTCTCAATAGGGTGGTTCTCTTCCCAAGGTGGAAGCCAAGTTCATCAATTATGTGAAGAATTGCTTTCGGATGACTGACCAGGAGGTAACTTAATTTTCTAGCCATATGATCAAATCCAAATTTTTTGTGTATTATGTGTTGGCCCCTTTTGAAAGGTTCTTAACCACAGACAATTTCTTCAGACTAAATACATGGAAACTCTAAGAATTTAGTTGGCAGAGTCTAAGAAGATAACTTTTTTAGTATATTTCCCTCAGCTTTTATATAGTTGGTAAATCTCTTGGTTATTGAACTCAGTACGATGTTGGCTAAGGAATATGCTGTGTGGTTTTCCTTGCTGCTCCATTTGACTAGTTGGGGCAGTCTGGTCTTCGCTTTTTTGGGAGGTTTTCTCCCTAGATCTTAGAGGAAACATAATTTGTAAAATCATCCTACATTGAAACTGGAAGTGAGAAGTCAAATTGTGGTTATTACGAGATATATTAGGTTGAGTTAGCGTTCAGCTCTTACATATGAAGGTATTTTGTCAATAGAAGAAAATTCATGCAGTTATTTTGCTCTTACAGTTGACTCAGATCATAAAGGAAAGTATAAACGCAGTTTAGATAGGGTTGTAGGTAATTTATATGCAGGGCAGATCCTGTATTAAGTGGATTTTTTTTGAAACCTCTTGTGTTAGACTTTTTTTGATATGTTAGAAAAACTTGGCAATTAATTAGATGTTTCTTTTTCTGCTGTGGCATTCAGTACTTCAATTACTTAAACTGCAATGCTACTTAAATTTGTTTTCAGTTTCCAGATGTGCAATCTTTTCAGTGGTTCAGCCCTGATAAGATTGTGAGTTCAGCTTGTGAAGGTACAGTGATGGGCTGTGAGGTGATCAGATTCAGTTTTTCATTTGGCTGCTATTCTGGTTTCTTGTGTATATTTGAGCCCCTAGTTTTCTGACTAGTGGACACTTTGGTTTGCCTCGCCAGGCCTCTGGAAATGTGTTTTCAAGTGCCAGGATGAAATAGCTGCAATAGATGTTATTAACTTGGTTTACTTATTATAGAGATTTTTAAATAATTTTTAAAGATGGAGGTCTTCGTTGCTCAGGCTGGGCTGCTGTGGTGCGATCAGAGCTCATTACAGTCTTGAACTCTTGGGCTTAATCTTCCTGCTTCAGCCTCTTCAGGAACTAGTACTACAGGCATGCACCACCATACCTGGCTAATTTTTAAAACAATTTTTTGTAGATGTAGGGTCTTGCTATGTTGCCCAGGCTGGACTTGAACTCTTGAGGTCCCAAGTGATCCTCCCTGAGTGTTTAGCATTGCATGTGTGAGCCACCGTGGTGCCTGGCCTAAAAGATGCTCAAAACTAAGTTCATGTTTTTACAGTTGAGATGTAAGCAATAGCAACATATAAAACTTCTTCCTTTGCTTGTGCACTGTTTTTCTTAGCCCTTGCTTATGAGGCTAGTGAGTCAAATCCCATCCAGATGGAACAATAGCTAATTTCTAAATTAAGAACTAGGAAAAATGTACTGCTTTAGTGGAAAAGACTACGGATTACAAGTTTTAGTGGATAGTTCTGTAAAGGTGTGAACAATGTTTATTCAAAGTTGAAGCAGAGTATGATTCTCTCCAGATAGTGTTGAATCATCCTGCCCATATTCTACAAAATGCTGATCAAGCAGCCTATTTTTATTTCGTTTTATTTTTAATTTTTATTTTAAAGATATGGGGTACAATTCAGGGTTAGGTATACAAATGTTCTTTACACAGGTACCTTTTTGATGAGGTGTGCCTCTTCCTCCCCTGGCAGTTTCCCTCAACTGCCAATCCCTTTCTTACAGCAGCCTATTTGTTCCGTAAATGTAGGATTCTGCAAATTTAAAGAAGAGCAAACATTGTTATTGAGGAACTTCCTTGCTTTAAAGAAAATGTGGTCCAGCTGCAGTTAGTGTTTCATACCTTTGTAATTCCAGAGGCTGAGGTGGGAGGATTGCTTGAGGCCAAGAGTTGGGCGATCAGCAGTGCCATAGACACTATGAAAAAACTTGAATCCTTTAAATAGCTGACATAAGCATTAAAACTGTTCTTAAGATGAATAACCTTTATGAACAGGAAAAGAAATTCCTAACTTGACGTGGTAACTATGGATAATTAACATCACTCTTACTATGATTATAATTTGAAATGGATTTTACACCTTAAATAATTTGATTCATTACATACTTCATCAGCATAGGAACAAGGGGACAAACAATAGAAATTGACAGTAGTGCTTTTTTTTTTGCGCCAATTAATTTTTTTAAGTTATTAAGATGAAAATGTACCGAAGTTGTCGTGGAAGAGGTTGTTTTGTGCTTCAACAGATCAGATACGAAGAGTAGTGGCTAACTGTCAGTTTTAACTTTGTCAGAACACGTTAGTATATTGTCTCATGCTAATGTCAAGTGCATTCTTATCAAGGAAGTGTTCAGGAAATCCAGATTTAGGAAAATCTAGTTTGTGTATTTGAAAATAAGTTGCATTTGTGTATAAATTTCCTTGGAATCAGTTTTAATTATTTGGAGTTTAAAAAAAAAAAGGTGTTGCACTGTGCAAAGAAACCTGGTTTAATCTATTGATGTCTATGCAGTGTTTTGGTTCTGTAACCACATTTCTTTTTTTTTTCCTCCCCAGGCTATTCAAGATCTCTGGCAGTGGAGGAAATCTCTTTAAGAAAATAGTTTAAACAGTTTGTTAAAAGTTTTCCGTCTTATTTCATTTCTGTAACAGTTAATATCTGGCTGTCCTTTTTATAATGCAGAGTGAGAAACTTTCCCTACCGTGTTTGATAAATGTTGTCCAGGTTCCATTGCCAAGAATGTGTTGTCCAAAATGCCTGTTTAGTTTTTAAAGATGGAACTCCACCCTTTGCTTGGTTTTAAGTATGTATGGAATGTTATGATAGGGCATAGTAGTAGTGGTGGTCAGACATGGAAATGGTGGGGAGACAAAAATATACATGTGAAATAAACAGTATTTTAATAAAGTAGCACTGTTTCTGTTCACTCATTTAACGTCTTATACTTTGTTAAAGAAATAAATGTACATTGTTAAAAGTGTTACTATATTCTAAAATTCCGTTAGAAAGTCCCTGCCCTATCCTCCAAATAGTTCTTTGTTAGAGGTGATCAGTTTTTCATCTTAAGGATTCTGTGCTCACATATTCCCACCTCATGATAATAGTTAACAGTTACAACTATGCAAACAGTTACAACTATAAATATTCATGATAATAGTTAACAGTTACAACTATGCAAACAGTTACAACTATGCAAACATGTCCTATCCTAGCCTCACTCTCATAGAAAATTTGGCATGTTTTTAAAAATCTTAAAGTAGCCTTTCTCAGCCGGAATTCTTCATCTGAACCCAAACAATATGAGTTAAGTGTCTAACTTCTTGATTTGACCAATAGTACACCTTAAATCTATCGGAGGAAAGTTACCACATGTAGTGGTTCTATGAGGATATTTAGGAGCTGATTCTTGAGACACCTTTGTTCTGCCTCAAGCTGATTGCATGGTCTGAGTTGGACATGCCGGTGTGATTCCTATTCTTTTGCTTTGCAGTGGTTTGAGTACATAGGGGATTTATTTTCTAGCTCTTTGACAGTCATGCTTTTGACATTTTTGTCATTCATGCTAGGCTGAATCTTCTCTCAGAATTTTAAGTGTGTACCCTTTTTGGTCACATCTATTGCCATTTTCATGTATCATTTGCATATGATCTGTTTTTCTGAAATTTTATGAATGTGTCTTGAGGTGGTGTCTTTTTCCAGGCCATTTTCCTGGGAGAGTTTACTCTTCTTTTATTCATCCTTACACCTTTTGGTTTATTCTCTTGGATGTTTCTCCTCATTCATTTTTGTATAAACTTAAGAAAGAGACTTTATTTTGTTTTTCTCAAATTTTTTTTATGTTGATTTTAATGCCCCAAGTGTTTGGTTCTTTGGGGATATATGGAAAATCTGAAAATTACTGTAATTTTCTAACAGTCTTGTCAATTGATCCTGTGTTTCTTTTTCATTTCCCCCTTTTGACTGGACTTAATAGTTGCAGATATTTTGAGTGTGTTCTGCACATGTTATCCTCCAGAGGAACCTCTTGGAGGGTGGTGGAGAGGCTAGGTACACTACTGTGTTGTCTAATTCCAACTTTGAAGATGTGGGGTACAATGTGTTAGATGCCTCTTCTAGTCACTTTAAGTTGGCGTTTTCTCTATTCAGGACATCTATCCTTGTGTTTTTTGTATCTTTATTTTACTGGAGACTCCGCAGGGGATGGTTAAGTGTTCAGTGTGTTCTTTGCTTTATTGAAAAGTACCTCCGTTTTATTGACTGATTGGGGTCTCACTCTGTCTTCCAGGCTGGAGTGCAGTGGCATTCTCAGGCCACCTCAACCTTCCAAGCAGTGGAACTACAGGCATGTACCACCACACCTGGGTGATTTTTTTTATTGTAGAGACAAGGTCTCACCAAGTTGCCCAGGCTGGTCTCAAACTCCTGGACTCAAATCTCGCTTTGGTCTCTCAAAGTTCTGGGATTACAGGTGTATTTTAAAGAGTGTAAGTGCAATTTACGTTTAAAATACCATCTTTAAATTGATAGGGCTGTCCCAAATAAAGTGACAATGAACTTACTGATTTAATTTAGTAAGTTACTGGTATCCAAATAGTGCCAGCGATAGAGATGTCATCAAGGACTACATTTAGGTTGGCATATCACAGTGTATGATACAGGCAGTATAGCAAGTAGTTAATACTGGCTATAGCAAGTAGTTAATACTGGCTACTCAACATTTTCAAGAGAGGAATAACACCTGTAAATGTCAGGCCAACTTATCTAGAAGGGCAGAGATTTTCCTGTGCCTTCAAAGTCTGTAATAGTATTTATTTTTAGTTTCCTTAGGAAATTCCATTAAAAAAACTAATTCACCTTTGTTCAATACAGACTTAAGCAGAGTTTTCCATACGTAGATCAATATTTGTTTAGAAACAATTATTAAAGCAAAATTTTTTAAACATAATTTTTAAGCAAACTTTTGAAGTTTTCTAAGGCCATTAAGAAAATAATTGCTTTTCCTTTGTTCCTGGTAATAATGATTAATGCTAGAGGAAGCTAGCCAGGTGCAGTGGCTCATACCTGTAATCCCAGCACTTGGAGGCCGAGGTAAGAGAATTGCCTGAGCCGAGCAGGTCGAAGCTGCAACAGCCCTGAGTATGCTGCTTCACTCCAGCCTGGTGACAGAGTGAGACTCAGAGAAAACTAGAGGAAGCTATAAAATAGGGTGGTTTATTCTACATAATAGTAATTTATAGGTCATTACCAGACTAATACCTGGTTTAAGTGCATCTGGTGTTAACCTTGCTGGTGGAACTACATTTCCTTAAGCCATTCTGCTGAGAGGATGCTCGATGTTTCGTTTGCACTACCATTTATTCTGCAAGCATTTTCCTTGGCTTTATCATTAAATCATTAATCTCTGCATTTGTACCTAACTTTGAAAGAAAATGTGGTTTTGATTTTTGATTGATTTCCCAATTGACTGAATTTGTGTCCGGGGGTGTCCTCTTCAAGCTTGCTCCTCCCACAGCAGACCTCCACCAGGTTGCTTCTTGCTTTGTAGTATAACAAAGATGTTCTAGTTTCATGTTTGTTTCCTTTCACAGACCCAGAATGAACTATTTTCTCCAAAGATCCCTTACTCCTTTTATTTTTTACTTTTTTTTTTTTTTTGAGTTGGAGTCTCACTCTGTCGCCCAGACTGGGGTGCAGTGGCATGCTCCTGGCCATCACAGCCTCTACCTGCTGGGCTCCAGCCATCCTTTCACCTCAGCCTTCCAAGTAGCCAGAAATACAGGCACGTGCTACCACGCCTGGCTAATTTTTGACTTATTGTAGAGACGAAGTCTCGCCAAGTTGCCCAGGCTAGTCTCGAACTGTGGACTCCCAAGGTGTGAGATTACAGGCTGAGCCACCAAGCCCAGCCGCCTCACTCCTTTAAAAAAGGGCTTTTATAGATTGGGAACATTGCTTAGTGATACTGGGCTCTAGTTTAGCAGACTGGTTAGATGAGACAAAGGCAAGGGAAAGACAAGTGCTACAGTGGGCATGTGTCTAGGTTGGTTGACAGTAGTCAGTATGTCAGTTCAGTGTTCGTGTAACGGTGAGGGCTAGGTGAGAACTCAAGTGTCTAGGTTGGTTGACAGTAGTCAGTATGTCAGTTCAGTGTTCGTGTAACGGTGAGGGCTAGGTGAGAACTCAAGAGCTCCTAACCCTCAGGCTCCACCAGAGAACAGGTCAAAGTAGGTTAAAATAGCCAACAGAGGCTATTATAGAGAACAAATCGACAGTCTTTTTTTTTTTTTCCTTTGAGTTTGGGTTTCACTTTCACTCATGCTGGAGTGCAGTGGCACGACCACAGCTCACTACAGCCCCGACCTAGGCTCGGGTGTTCTTCCGCCTCAGTCTCCTGAGTAGCTAGGGCTACTGGCATATACCACCCTGCCCAGCTTTTTTGTTTTGGCTTTTTTTGTAGAGAAGGGAGTCTTGCTTAATATCTTGCCCAGGCTGGTCGCAAACTTCTGGATTCAAGCAGTCCTGTCTCAGTCTCCCAAAGCTCTGGGATTACAGGCATGAGTCACCTTGCATGGCCAGATCATCAGTCTGAAAGATGCAAATGACAGAATAATTGCACAAGGCTTACAGTGGTGTACCATGGTTTGCAGAAGCTACCGCATGGTTTTGACTTAGAATATCATGCATCATCACAGGGATATGATCTGAAAATCTATTGTCAGTTGATCTTTTTGCGTGAACATAGAGTATTTACACAAACTTAGATGATGTTGCCTACTGCACACTTAAGATACGTGGCACAGTCTGTTGGCTCCTAGGCTACAAATCTGTATAGTATAGCATGTTGTGCTAGATGCATGTAACAGTGGTATTTGAGTATGTAAACATGAAAAGTTACAGTAAAAAAAGTTTAAAGAAATGGTCCACCTGCATAGGGCACTTACTTCATGGAGCTTGCAGGAGTGGAAATTGCTCTGGGTGTCAGTGAGTGGTGACTGAAGGAGGCTTAAGACGTTACTGCACATGACTATGGACTTTACACTTAGGCTATGCTAAATTTATAAAAATATTTTTCATTTATAAATTAACCTTTTAGCTTATTGAACTCTTAACCTTACAAGCTTTTTTAGAACTTTGACCCTTTTGTAACATTTAGCATAAAACACGTACAGCTGCACAAAAATCTTTATATCTTATTCTGCAAACTTTTTATTCATTTTTTTACATGGGGTCAGGTTCAATATACCAGTCTTCTACGTCTTGTCCCACGGAAAGCCTTCAGTGGCAGGCGTCTTAACAATGCCTTTTAGAATACCTCTAGCAGGACTTGCCTGAGACTGTTTGATAGGTAACTTTAAATTTGAATTTTTGAGTCAGTCTCATTCTGTCGCTCAGGCTACAGTGCAGTGGCATGATCTCGGCTCGCTGCAGCTTCAAATTCTTGGACTCAAGCCATCTTCCTACCTTAGCCTTCCAAGTAACTGGAACTACAGGCATGCACTGCCCCACCCGGCTATTATTTAAAATTTTTTTGTTGAGATGAGGTCTCACTATGTGGCCCAGGGTGGGTTTGAACTTCAGAGTTCAAGCTATCCTCCCATCTCAGCCACCCAAAGTGCTGGAGTTATAGGCATGAGCTACCATCCCCGGCCATTTTTAGAAATTTTAATTTTTAGAAATAAGCACACTCTAGAATAATGATAAAAGTATAGAACAGTATGTCCTGTACATAATTGTGCTATACTTTTATATGACCAGCAATGCAGTAGGTTGGTTTATACCAGCATCACAAATGTGAGTCATGCAGCCGGGTGCGGTGGCTCACACCTATAATCCTAGCACTTTGGGAGAGACCAGCCTGGGCAATTTGGTGAGACCTCGTCTCTACAATTAATTAAAAAATTAGCCAGGCG